TGAGCTTCTTCCACTTTTTTGCCATATAAATAACACTGGGATGAACATGAGTCTTTATGGACATCCGTGATTATTTTCTTACCAGATATTCATAGAAACAGAATTATTGGATTCAAGGCTGGAGCTTTCCACTCAGGAACACTCCTGAGTTCCCTGAAATGGGTTACCATTTTATTTTTTTTTAAAGCATAAAAAAAGTAAATTTATTGTTTAGAGGTAAGTGAATCCTTTTAGGTTTAACTTAAAGAATATTCAGTAACAAAGTCCTTCCTATGCTTTAAAGCTCCGGACATTCCAATACCATTTTTTCTTGATCTTCTCTTAATGAGGATGAATTTCTCTTTTCTATATCTCTCGTCAAACTTATCATCTGACAAAGCAGTCATTATTTGTGTACGTGTCTAGTTACGGGCCTTTCTGACTTGATGTAAGGTTTTCGAGAGGGCTTTTCCATCCTTTCATCCTGAAAGCTGTCATGCTGGATAGGTAGCAAGCATTCAGCATATGATTATTGAATTAAATTCGGCCAAAGCATGTTAGATGGATAAATTCTTGAGCAGTCATCCTCTTAGAACTTGTCACAGCTATATTTATGACCCATCCCTTAGAAATAATTGCTATCCTCATGTAGTAACCCATGGAAGACTTACCAATGACACGGACTTTTGTGTTTTTTTAAAAAAAACCTTTATGTTCTGACCTTTAGAACTTGATTTATTCTTTATACGTGAGGATTTGTGGGCATTTATAAAAGTTGTTAGCATCTAAGATTTCTAAATGTGGCATCCTGGCCAACTTTTCCAAACGTCTAGCTCAATGACCTAGAGAAGAAGCACGCCATGCTAGAAATGAACGCACGAAGCTTACAGCAGAAACTAGAGACCGAACGAGAGCTCAAACAAAGGCTTCTGGAAGAGGTGAGTGTGAAACACCTGGGAAATAGGGCCAGGTGGAATTTTGAAAGTGAAAATTTGTCATGTTCAGGCGGTCATACCCAAATTAGACATTCAAATTTTGAAATTGGGGTTTTCGTGGAAGAGTAGGGTGGTCATGTAATTCTTTCTCGAAGGTATTTAGCGCATTGAAAGAATATGTTGTGAAGGCCATAGGGCCTCCCTTTCATTTGTGTCCTATGTGGTGCTTAATAGAGTGTCAAGCACATGGTAAGTATGTGCCAAATAGAGGTTTATTAAATACGTGGATGAATGATTGTTGAGTTAAATTGTTCTTTAGAGTTAATATGCAAAGTATATTAAGTTTCGTGTTGACAGGACATCCATGCAAATTAGCTTTCTGCACAGGATGGAGATTTGATCAGATTATGCTGAGTACCAAATTTCATGAAGATTTTTGAATAGTTAATTCGATTAAAAAAATGTGGCCTGCTTTTGTGACACAACAAGCTCAAACGGATCTCCTAAACCCATCCCTTATGTTATTGCTGGTCCCTTTTCACAGACTCAGAAAATTGCTGCATAAATTGATGACTACTTTCACTCCCAACCACAGCCCTGCATGTTGAATCACTAATGATTCTGCTTTGTTCATTAGAATTGACCTACAAAGACAAAAGTACTTTGTAAAGATATTTAATGAAACTTGGACTGCAAAGAGTATTCTCTTTAACCCCTAGTGAGCCTGACAGTTCAATTAACCAGAATTCCCTGTTCTGGTTAATTGAGGCTTTGTTATGTGACACCCATAGCTCCTGATGCACTCTGCTGATAGAAATGCCGTTGCTATGCTATTAAGTTTGAAAAGTATAGGAAAATTTTTGCAGGTGAGTATGAAGTATTTTATATAATGATACTTTTAAAAATATGGGTGGGAAGTTGAGAAAGTTCTGGAGGTGGATGATGGTGATGGTTGCACAACAATATGAATGTACTTAATGCCACTGAACTATACGCTTAAAAATGGTTAAAATGGGCCAGGTGCAGTGACTCGTGCCTGTAATCCTAGCACTTTGGGAGGCTGAGGTGGGAGGATTGCTTGAGGCTAGGAGTGTGAGACCAGCCTGAGCAACATAGCAAGACTCTGTCTCTACAAAAAGTTTAAAAAAAATTTTAGCTGGATGTTGTGGTACATGCCTATTGGCCCAGTACTTGGGAGGCTGAGGCAGGAGGAT